GGTTAAAATCATTCTAATTTAATACAGTTTAACAAAGCATTAAGATACCTGATTTTTAAGACATAGTTCTGATTATACCACAGATGTCTTCAGTGCCTATCCAGCATCAGCTTTCCAGAACTTGGCCTCACCTTTTCTCTCTCTCTGTTGTTCACACACTTAGCTCTGGACATTCGTATCACCACACCAGTCAGTCTGCTCACGCTCCACGGGATAAGACTACCTAGGCTCCTAGTTGGGTTTTGTTTGTTTGTTTTAGAATGTAAATAGAATTCATACACATAGACATGATTTCAAGCAAAATACAAAATGGAGTATTTGTGTTTATGTAAAAAAGATAGCATCGAGTTTACAATGAAAAAAATCCTGTTGATAAAGGGTCTAAAAAATAAATGCAGCCTTAAGCCACCTCATTAGAGTAATAATCCCATTATATTCTATGCCTGCTGATCCATAGTTTGTGTTTAGAGCTGGGTGCCGCATAATTGATAGTTGGTTACTTACTAGCTGCAAGGTCAGCAGTTTAACCCATCGGCCACTCTGTGGGAGACAGATAAGGCTTTTTGCTCCTGTAAAGATTGATAGTCCAAACCCCAAAGGACAGTTCTGCTTAGTCCTATAGGATCGCTACAAATCAGAAGTGACTTGCTGGCAATCGCTTTGATATTTTGTACATTTTGTGAGTATTGGGAAACAGCCTGGAATGTGTCCAAGGGGACAAGGGGTTTGAAAATTAACAGAACGATGAGTGGAGGGCTGTTTGGAGGAAAGAGAAAAGGAAACTGGAGAAAGAGGAGTAAAGCCTAAAACAGAGCCCAGGAAAATATGCTGGGCGTGTCAGGCTCTACAATGTGTGAAAGTTATTTGAGCTAAGTATTTAAATGATAGGGTTTATCTTATGAAGTAGTAAGCTCTCATTATTTTAAAACATAAAGAGTAGAGCTGCGTCACAGGGTTTCCACGGCTGTAAATCTTTACAGAAGCAAACTGCAACATCTTCTTCCCATGGAATGGCTGGTAGGTTTGAACGGACAGTCTTTTTTGTGAGCACACCCAGCAGGACAAATGGGAACTGCCTAAGGAACAATTTCTGACTTCCCTTCTAATAGGCTAGCTGCATAAAATTATGAACTACTGAGTTAATTATTATCATTGGAGAAACAACGCCAACTTCATTTTCCTGTACATTATTCATTGCAGTGACGTTGAGCGTTCTTTTAGG